GTGATCCAGTACGACTAGATCATCTCATTGAACTGGATTTTCCAAGACCTTAAAGCTTGTTTCAATCAATAAATGGACTGATTAAGTTTACAAACCAGATGCTCATGGCCTTTTGCGACAAGCCCCTCTGGTTGTTGCATATGGACGTCTACCACAAGACTCTTATTAAGGAATGTCTTCTTAACATCTACCTGCCAGATCTAATAATCTATATGAGCGGCAACAACCAAGAGAATCTCAATAGACTTGAGCATGGCTACCAACAAGAAGGTTTCCTCATAATTGATTCCATCTTTCAGAGTATACCCCTTCGCTATTAGCCTCATTTTGAAGATCCCAACCTTCTCATAAGATCCTCTCTTTCTCTAACAGACCCACTTGCATCCAATGGGTCATAGCCCAATGGGTGGTTCTACAATATCCTAGGCCTGATTGGAGCCCATTAACTCTATTTCAGTGAACATTGCACTTTTCCATGATTCTGCATCCTTGTACTAGATCGCCTTGTTGTAGGTCTAAGGGTCAGGTTCATGCTCACCCAAAATTATGTGTGAAGACTCTCCTAGGAACATAAACCTATAGTGCGGTCTATCAACCCTCCCACTACGATGAGGTACTATCTGCACAGGTGCATCTTTAGTGACACGTGTTGCAGTATAATTTGGTTTATCTACTTGCGCACTCAGTGTTGGATGCTCGACCTCACCCTTTAACTCCTTCAACACAAGTCTATCGAGGGCTTGTGTTCTAGAATATAGTCTTCTTCAAAGAATTTAGCTTTCGTACCAACGATCACCTTCTGATCCTTAACACTATAAAATAAAATGAAAAAACTCATCATCGACCAAACCACTTTTATAAGAGTCTAGATTCTCCTTTCTGACACCATGTTCTGTTTGCAGACAATTAGGATTCATTCCAACCTCTGATAAATAATTCATAAACCTTCCCAAGAGGTATTCGCCACCCAAATCCGATCAGAGAAACTTGATACTCTTACTATGATGATTCTCCACAATTGTCTAATACTCATTGAATTTATCAAAGCATACATACTTGCGGTGCATCAGGTAAACATATCTGAAACTCGACTAAAATCATCAATATACGTAACAAAATACTCGAACCTCTTTAGCCTAGATCAACATAGGAACATATAAATCGAAATAAAGCAGTACTAACACATTCTCGCACTTATTCCCTTAGTCGTAAACAACTGCTTAGCCATTTTGCCTTCCAAGCAAGACTCGCAGGTCGGGTAGTCATCCACCTCCAATGGACCAATACCAACCTAAGATGCCAGAGATATGTTTGACTCATTTTTTAAGGTTCCCTTTTCTTATTAGATTTAGTCAATGTTTATTAAGTTTCGATTGTTGCAGTGTGGGATTGTTTGGATTAAGAACATAAAAATTGTCTACTAATGAACCAGAACAAATGAAATACTTTCCATAATGAATAATAACCTTGTCATTAAACGAAGAAGAATATCCATTCATATAACGTTTAGAAATGAAATGAAATTTCTACTAAACGACGGAACATAAAGACAATATCTCAAAACCAAGCATCTACTCTTATAAAAGCATAATGTAACGTCTATCACTGTAACAACTACCGCCTTTATGGAGTTTCCCATGTAGACGGTAATCTCCCCTTCCTAAAGCCGTTTGGCTCTCTGGAACCCTGTAAAAAATTACATACATGATTAATGGCTCTCGTATCCAGACACCAGTTACTGGTGGATAACACCGCTAAACATATTTTTACGACTAATGAATAAGATATACTCCCATTTCCCTTCTTGAGGAGAGGATTAGTGGGCTTTCTAGTGCCCTGTCTTTTTGCAACGGTGACATTTGTCTTCCGACTTTTTTGAACTTCCCTGCTCAGTCGCCGGAGAAGCCACGGGCCCAGACACTGCCTTGCTATCCCAGCTGACTTCCTCTTCCTCTTGGACCTTTCCAACCCAGAGGTCGAGATACCATCCTTGTCGGCCATCAGCGTCTGGGAGTGTTAACGAAACAATCTCTCGGCAGCCTAGAGCTTCCCGAACAGTACAACGACCGACAAAGACATCTTGTTCATGCTGTAGTTCAAGCAGAACTGCTCAAAACTCTTGGGCAGCGACTGGAGCAAATATCGACTTGAGTTTACCCGTCAATATTGGCTCCAAGGACCTCCAGCTTGTTGGGCTGGGCCATCAGCTTAATGACACGATCCCTCACGCGAGTGTCTTTCGCCAAATATTCAACCAATCTTATTAATTAATATTTTATTATTTTGGTATTCCACCAACTTTAATTTTATGCTTTTATCTTATATTCATTTATAATTCAAACTTACTTAAATGATTTTTATATTTTTCCTTTTATCTTTTTTAATATTTCTGGTGAGTCAAAAATTTCAAAAGAAAATCACAATTGCTCTCAGTTTTTTCTTACTTCACATGGCTGTATCTTAGCTGTCAAATAAACTATATCCATTTTTCTTTCCTTCTTTTAGTATCTTCTCTCTGCCTTTTTCTTCCACATCACTATCTTTTGGCATCACATTTCACACAAATATAAGCATATAAACTATAAAAAAAGAGTTTTGAAAACAACCTCCAACTCCAAGCCTCCAACTCCTCGTCCCTTCACACTTTGCCCCTTTCAGTTGAGCCTTTTCTCTCTGTTTTCTTTCATTCTTTCTTCACACCCCATTATTGCAACAAATCATTTAATCAACTATTTTCCATTGTTTCAACTTATTGGTTTTTGTCTCTTTTAAGTGTGAGGACTGTCTGTTTGTGAAAGCATGTAAAAATGCAAAATTGATATACATACACAAACGGAGGAGTAAAAGGTAATTTTTTTTTTAAAAAAAAAAATTTATTTCAGTATTCATGTGGATTTGCCCATGTTTTTTTTTTTCTTGCCGTTTGGGTTTCTGAGTTTTATTGCAAAAGTTGAGTTTTTTCTTGCCGTTCTTGGATTCTTGGACTTGAAGTGGGTTTTCAAGACCAAGTTTTCAGTTATGTATGGGGTGTTGTAATTATTGGGAGAGGTTACGGTTATGGAACCATTCCGTTGGATTTTGTAACCGTTAGATCAATTATTCTCGACGGGTATATCATGATCCAACCGTTACAAATTTCGACGGGATGATTCCGTAACGGGACCCCGTAGCATTTTCTGTAATTATTATAATTATTATTTTCACTGTTTTGGCTGATTGGATTCTTGAACTTGAAGTGGGTTTTCAAGACCAAGTTATTAATTGTTATGGGGTGTTATCATTATTATAATTATTATTTTCACTGTTTTGGCTGATAGATTCTTATGGGCTTTTGTTTTTTTTTTTTTT